GCGCCCACCGAGCTCTGATACTTTGAAAGAAAAGGCACCTTCCCGTGACCCTACGTGATGGGGACAGACGCTCCCACCGACAGGATGAAGACTCTAAGGCTTAGACAGACAGAGCAGCTTGCCCGGGGTACCCCCGACACCTGCCCCCGAGATCCCCGCCCACTCCATCGCCCACAGCCCCATTCCTCCCCCAGACAGTTCCTGTGGAGCTTCCGGCTGCCCGGCGAGGCCCAGAAGATCGACCGGATGATGGAGACTTTTGCCACCCGCTACTGCCTCTGCAACCCAGGCGTCTTCCAGTCCACAGGTGCCGGTGTGGGATGGGACCGGGGCTCCAGGACCCCTTCGGAGCTGCAGGCCCAGATCCTCCTCCCGAGGCGCCAGGGTCGCCCCACCCCTTCCGGTTTCCCACGGTGTCTGAACAGGGCTTTAAAGGATGAACAGGAGTTCTGCCCAAGGTCAAGGGGAGAGAGGACCTTTTGGGGCAGGAGTTTTCATCTGAGTAAAGGCCAGAAGCATGAAACACCCTGTGCGGGACGTAGGGAGCACAGGTGTATGGAAAGATCTCCACGGAGATCAGAACTCCGTACCCCCACCGCCACCCTTCCCCCCACCGCGGGCTGGGCAAGAAATCATCAGGGCAAGCTTGTCCTGCCCTCCTTCTCTGTTCCTGAAGTTACCATAACAACAAGAACCAATTCCGTTAGTTGAGGACCACCCGTGCAAAGTCATCTGGTCCGTGCATCCACTGTCTGAGGCCAGGAACATCCCCCCTCTCTGCATATAACAGAGACTCCGAGAAGTGATGTGACTTGTCCACGGACACAACGCTTCTTGGCCGTGTGACCACAGTCAGGTCCTACCAGTCACTGGTCCTACCTTGTAGTTATACAGAACTGGGAGGGAGGGGGTGCTGGTTTATCTGTCCCCCACCCCCACTAGTCTAAACATCCCGCAGGGCGGGAACCGTATTGAATGTATTCGCTGATAAATGCCCCAGTCCGCAGCACTCTGTGGGTACGCAGTAAAGATTTCTGGAAAGGAAGGGATTTTACAGCACCAGATCTGAGTCCCAGTCTAAGTATGCAATTTTGTGACCTTGGGCCTGTAACTTAACTCCCTTGGGCCTCAGTGTCTTGCTCTGTAAAATGGGGTTACTCGCCTCGCAGGGTTGTTATAGGGATGTAGAGCTTAGCACAGGGCAAGCACCGGCAACTACCAGGTTGTTCTATTAGGTGCCGCTGTTTTCGGAGGTAGAGTCGCCGGTGTTCTGGGACATGAGGATACTTCAGGTTAGACCTCCTCACATCACCAGTGGGGGGAGCTGAGGCTCCAGGAGGTCAGGTGCCTTCCCAAGGTCCACCAGACCAGCCGGGGACGCACAGCCGGACTTCCCTGACTCTGGAACCCGGGGCCCAAAAACGCCCCAGAGGAGCATCACCTCCCTCCCCAGTGCCCAGCCCAGCCTCTCCCCCAAGCCCATGAAAGTCTGAATAACAGAACAGGAACTCGGGCCCCCAGGAGCCCCGCAATGCCAACAAGATCGCCGAGCAGAACGTGACTAAGCCCTGAACAGTGCGGCCAACAATAGGTGTTCCGCGGAGGCAGGGAACAGAGTGGGCAGAGAGGCTGGAAGGGGTCCGGGAGAGGCTGGAGCTGGAGCTGAGAGATGAGGATTGAAATACGCAGCAAAGGGAAGGGGAAAGGCAGGGGCCCAGCGGGAGCAGAAGTGCAGAGGTGGGAAGGCAGCTAAAGGGAGCGGGGAGGCCAGAAGAGTGGGGAGGGGGCGGGGCCTCGAATGCCAAGCCAGGACAGCTGGACCTTCGGGGACTGAGACGGGTGATGATGGGCCCCTCGAAGGGGTCGGGGTAGAGGAGGCGAGAGTGACCAGCGCCAGGCCTGTGACCCCTGTCCCATCTGGCAGATACCTGCTACGTCCTGTCCTTCTCCATCATCATGCTCAACACCAGCCTCCACAACCCCAATGTCCGGGACAGGCCACCCTTCGAGCGCTTTGTGTCCATGAACCGTGGCATCAATGGCGGCGGTGACCTGCCTGAGGAGCAGCTGCGGGTAAGAGGGGCACGGCCCGACCCACCTGGTCCCCAGGCATCTGGGAGGGGTTCGTCCTTAGGTGGACAGCCCCAGGGGGGGCCCCTCTGAGACAGACCTCTGCAGGGGGGATTCTCTGCTGGGAGGGACCCCCCCCAGGTTGGTGGCTGTCGTGAGATGGGCATTCCTGAGTGATCCCCATCTTAAGGGCGATGTCTGAGAGAGACCACCCAGGAGATCCCCCCCAGACTTCATCGTTTGGAGGATTCTGGGCACCCATCATTCGCACCTTCCAGCAAGGGTGCCTCGCGCAACTCAGGCGTATTGCCTGGAATCCCAGATTCTTAGACTCTCAGCGTGTCAGAGCTGAAAATCCTCAGACTCCGCTAAGACCCTTCCCTCCTTCAGAGAGGAGGAAACCGAGGTCTTCCGCAAGGCAACTTGAGAGCCAAGCAGAACCCAGGCCTCCCGTCTCTCCATCAAGCAGCCCCCCATTCCTGCCGTATGGCACCGGGCCCTGTGCTCGGCATGGGGCACCCACGGATGCGTCAACCACAGGCCCTGCCAGGCCAAGTTCAGGGTCTGGTGGGAAGACGATACATAAGTGAATTGTAGCCCTGTGTGATTCGTGCCGTCCTAACTGTGGGAACATAGCCACAGAAACACAGAGGACGCTCCTGTCAGTCTCCTGGGGGCAGGGGAAGGAAGGGTGCCATCTTGGAAGACTTCACAGGGGAGATGACTTTTGAACTGGGCCTTGACGGTTGAATAGGAGTTTTCGCGGAGGGGAGCAGAGAAAGGACATTGCACAAAGGGGAAGCAGCCACAACCCAAGCCCGGCCTAGCTGGGAAAGGCAGAAATGTCCAGAGTGGCTGGGTGGGGTCAGAGCATCCCAGGCTTTGCGTGACAACCTGTTTGCTGTGGGTAACACGGAGCTAGGAACAGTTTTGTAAACACGGGAGTGGGATTCAGAGCCTGGTGCAGCAAAAATGAATTGCCAGTTCATTTCCAGGACTCAAGATGCCCCAGAGCTCAATAAAGCCTCAGTCACCTCCCTGTGAGAGGCTGGCAGGAGGGGAGGAAAGGGTGTGAACCCCACCCTCCCAGCTCAGCACCCTGCAAACCTCCAGCCGCAGAAGTCTGGAGGGAAGCCTGGGTCTGGAAGGACCCTGGTGCCCCTCCGTGTTCGAGAACTGCCACTCCCTTAGCCCACCACCCTCCTTGGTCCCCAGAGGAGAAAGTTTATCACGAGGAAAGGGACAGCCGCGACACGGAATGAGGGCTCCGCGAGCTGGTTGGAGCTCGAGTCAATTCCCATCTCCCGTTTGCCTGCCGGTGACCTTGGGGAATGACTCACCCTCTCCAAGCCACCGTTCTCTCAACCAGGAGAACAGGGATAATGACGCCTGCGTCACAGAGCTGCTGTGAGTAGCAATTTATAAAAACGTAAAGGGCATAGCCCATGCCAGGTACGCAGCACAGGCTCTAAATGGCGGTTTATGTCACTATTAAGAATAATTAACCATAATTTAAAAAAAAAAAAAACCCCACCACTTA